AGATGATGATGATGATGACACAGCTGATGATGATGATGGCACTGCTGATGATGATGACACAGCTGATGATGATGATGATGACACAGCTGATGATGACACAGCTGATGATGATGACACTGCTGCTGATGATGATGACACTGCTGATGATGACACTGCTGATGATGATGACACAGCTGCTGATGATGATGACACTGCTGCTGATGATAATGACACAGCTGAGGATGATGATGATGACACTGCTGATGATGATGCTGATGACACAGCTGATGATGATGATGACACAGCTGATGATGATGATGACACAGCTGCTGCTGATGACACAGCTGATGATGATGATGACACTGCTGATGATGACACTGATGATGATGACACTGATGATGATGATGATGACACTGCTGCTGATGATGATGACACAGCTGATGATGACACAGCTGATGATGATGACACAGCTGATGATGACACAGCTGATGATGATGACGATGACACAGCTGATGATGATGATGACACAGCTGATGATGACACAGCTGATGATGACACTGCTGATGATGACACAGCAGATGATGATGATGACACAGCTGATGATGATGATGGCACTGCTGATGATGATGACACAGCTGATGATGATGATGATGACACAGCTGATGATGACACAGCTGATGATGATGACACTGCTGCTGATGATGATGACACTGCTGATGATGACACTGCTGATGATGACACTGCTGATGATGATGACACAGCTGCTGATGATGATGACACTGCTGCTGATGATAATGACACAGCTGAGGATGATGATGATGACACTGCTGATGATGATGCTGATGACACAGCTGATGATGATGATGACACAGCTGATGATGATGATGACACAGCTGCTGCTGATGACACAGCTGATGATGATTATGACACTGCTGATGATGATGATGATGACACTGCTGATGATGACACTGCTGATGATGACACTGATGATGATGACACTGATGATGATGATGACACTGCTGCTGATGATGATGACACAGCTGATGATGACACAGCTGATGATGATGACACAGTTGATGATGATGACACAGCTGATGATGATGATGACACAGCTGATGATGATGATGACACAGCTGATGATGATGATGACACAGCTGATGATCATGACACTGATGATGACACAGCTGATGATGATGATGACACAGCTGATGATGATGACACAGCTGCTGATGATGATGATGATGACACAGCTGATGATGATGATGATGACACAGCTGATGATGATACAGCTGATGATGATGATGACATAGCTGATGATGATGACACAGCTGATGATGATGATGACACAGCTGATGATGATGACACAGCTGATGACGATGATACAACTGATGATGATGATGACACAGCTGATGATGATGACACAGCTGCTGATGATGACACTGATGATGATGACACAGCTGATGATGACACAGCTGATGATGATGATGACACTGCTGATGATGATGACACTGCTGATGATGGCACAGCTGATGATGATGATGACACAGCTGATGATGATGATGATGACACAGCTGATGATGATGACACTGATGATGATGACACTGCTGATGATGACACAGCAGATGATGATGATGACACAGCTGATGATGATGATGGCACTGCTGATGATGATGACACAGCTGATGATGATGATGACACAGCTGATGATGACACAGCTGATGATGATGACACTGCTGCTGATGATAATGACACAGCTGAGGATGATGATGATGACACTGCTGATGATGATGCTGATGACACAGCTGATGATGATGACACAGCTGATGATGATGATGACACTGCTGATGATGATGACACTGCTGATGATGACACTGATGATGATGACACTGATGATGATGACACTGATGATGATGATGACACTGCTGCTGATGATGATGACACAGCTGATGATGACACAGCTGATGATGATGATGACACAGCTGATGATGATGACACAGCTGATGATGATGACACAGCTGATGATGATGATGATGACACAGCTGATGATGATGACACAGCTGATGATGACACTGCTGATGATGATGACACTGCTGATGGTGATGACACTGCTGATGATGATGACGCAGCTGATGACACTTCCGCTGATGATGCTGCTGATGACGCTGCTGCTTCTACTGCTACTGCTAATATATTTACCTCTGATGCTAATGACACTACTACCCCTGCTAAAGATGCTCCTACTGATGGCACTGCTGATGTGAATGCTGCTGCTACTGCTGATGGCACTGCTGCTGATGACACTGCTACTGTTATTGTTGCTGTTAATGTTGCTGTTAATGCTGCTGATAACACTGCTGCTGCTGCTGCTGCTACTACTGCTGCTGCTACTACTGCTGCTGCTCCTACTTATGACACCGCTACTGCTGCTGATGACAATGTTGCTACTGACGCTGCTGTGTGTCTGTCTGCGTGTGTCTGTCTGCGTGTGTCTGTCTGCGTGTGTCTGTCTGCGTGTGTCTGTCTGCGTGTGTACACGAGGACCCTATTCAAATCCATATTGGCCTGGTCTCGGCTAGCTGACGAAAGTTGCAAGCGAGAATTTCGGCATCGCTTGCGGCTGGGGTTGGCATCGTCCCCGACTCCTCCTGACGCCGAGTGGAAATGAGCGAGGTTTAGGACTGTGGCTCATGCAGCTGCATTGGCTGCTTTGGGTGCACGGTCCAGACCTCCCCAGAGACACTGGCTGACAGAGGAGGTGTTCAGGCTGGCTGAGAAAAAGCGACAGGCCCACTCTCACCGTCTACTGCCTCCTATGTCAGAGAATGAGGAGGCTTACCGCAGCCTTCGCTCGGAGGTTCGGACAGCCGTGAGGCGCTGCAAGGATGGGTGGTGGTCGCGGGTTGCTGAGGAGATGGAGTCTGCCTCAGTGGCCCGCGATCACAAATCAATCTAACTCCATCAAAAAAGTAACCTGCAGCGCCACACCTATCACCATCATTTGGGGAAAGAATGGTGATCCAATCTCCGACCCCCAGGAACAGGTTTGCAGATTTGCTGAGCATTTCTGTGAGGTCCTGGAGGAGGGGAAACCCCTTGTCTGGAAAACATCGTGGCACAAAGTGAGGATGACCCTGCTGAGGCTGCGGTGCCTCAAATATTGGAAGAAGTCACCCCCTGTGAGTGGTTGGCTGAGGTGCCGTCTGTTGAGGAAGTACTGAAGGCGATCCGGAGTCTGAGACCAGGAAAGGCAGCGGGCAGAGATGATCTCCCAAGCAAAATGCTGAGGGAGGGTGGCGTTTGTGCACAGACTGCCCTACATGACATCATAACAACAGTCTGGACCACTGGACGGATTCCGCAGGATTGGAAGGATGCCCTGGTGGTCCCCCTCTTTAAGAAGGGGGACCGCACAGACTGTAACAACTACAGGGGCATCTCGTTCCTCAGTGTGCAGGGAAAGACCCTGGCAAGGATTATTCAACATCGCCTTGCCAGGCACACTGAGGAGAGGCTTGCGGAGCCCCAATGTGGTTTCAGTCCAGGGCAGTCCTGCACATATGCCATATTCTCTGTCTGCTACAGCAGAGATGTAGGGAATTCCAACAGGTCTAACATCTATGATGCTTTAGTCACCTGGTCAAGGCCTATGATACCATAAACAGGCCAGGGCTGTGGGTTGTTCTTCATGCTTTCTGAGTCCCTGACCCTCTGCTCACAATCAAGGCCCGTCATGATTGTGGGCAGGCCCGGGTAAAGCTACGTGGCCAGGAGTCGGAGTCATTCCCTGTTCACCTTGGGGTGCGACAGGGATGTCTTCTGGCCTCCACATTATTTAACATCATCTTTGACCACGTAGTTCGAGAGGCTTTACAAGGCTGAACCGGAGATATTTCCATCTGGAACAGATACAACGAGAGGCTGATCGATGCCCGTGTATGGTTGAGGGATGGCTCCTTATTGGTCAACCATCTTACGTATGCTGATGATGTGGTAATAGCTGCTCATTCAGAGGAGGAGTTGGAGGCGCTGCTGCTGAACCTGGAGTTTGCCACCAAGAGGTGGGATATTACCATCAGCCCCACCAAAACTAAGCACCTGCCTCAGTATTTTGTGCCACCAAACACTCCACCCCCTCAGTTCCCCATTGTGGAGAGTTTCCCATACCTGGGCAGTGTGCTAATGACTGGCTCCGGTTTAACAGCAGAGGTCTCACTCCGAATCAGTCGGGCGGCAAAATATTTTCATTGGCTGCACAATGCTGTGTGGAAGCTACCTGGTCTGTCGCTCCGCACGAAGCTTCAGGTCTTCTCGGCCACAGTCATTCCCTCCCTTCTCTACGCTTGTGAAACGTGGACCCCTCTAATGGAACATCTACGCCAGTTAGAAACATTTAGGCTGGCCTGCCTACGATCCATCCTGGGTTTAACCAGACTGGATTGTGTGAGGAGCTCACAAATCCTTGAAAGATCTGGGCAAGGTCCCATCGGTGAGCTCCTCCGGCAGGCAGCGGCTGCGTTGGCTGGGTCATGTAGCCCGCATGCCCAGCCACCGCATGCCCAAGCAGTTTCTGTTTGGCCGCGTAGAGGGGCCTAAACGGGCACAACACGGGCTAGAGAAGAGATGGAGTGATGTGGTACAGGAGGACGTGGAGCTGAGTGGACTTGCCGATGACTGGTACCAGCGGTGTCAAGATCGGCCTCTGTGGAGGAGGCTCGTGAAGGACGCTGCTGGGCAGTTGGAGGCAGTCGCCCTCCAACAACAACGGAGGGCGGAGGAGCGACGCTCACAACAACGAGCGGAGCGCCGGGCGGCTAAAACGTTATCAAGTTTGTCACAGTAGGGGGCACAGGTGGTGCATCAGCCAGTCATCTCAGTCAGTCGACCCGTGGCACCTGCTGGGTCTGCCCCGTGACCTCCTGCCAGCGGGCGTTCGACACTTCGACGTGGCCTTAAAAGTGCACCTAGCCTGGCACGACTGGCGGCTGTTGGTCTGTGTGTGTCCCCGTGTCCCTGCTGCTCACCGTGGTGCCCAGGGAGATCTTGATCGCTCTGTGGGGGGGTCCCCCCGTCGACTTGAACCCCAGCGGGGTCACCAGCGGGGTCACCAGCGGGGTCACCACGGGGGTCACCACCGGGGTCATCTTGGGTTTCTTGTGGGGTCGGAGGTCGCGGGGAGGGGGGGGAGGAGCCTCAACCCCCTCCTCCCCCTCCTCCGCCCCCTCCTCGTCATCCTCGTCTCTGATTGGTCGGCCGGACTCGGGAGCTGTGATTGGCCGGCGCTTGTGTGGGCGGAGATCTGGCGGGGTGAGAGCGGCACAGAGGCAAAGCTGCCCCGAGGGGCTCGCGCGTGGGGCCACGGCACCGCCCCCGGCCGCCTTCGTCTCCCCCCCCTCCCCATGTTGAGAGATAGGAGGGGGCGGAGCTAGCTGTGGGTGTGTGGGGGGGGGGGTCACGGCTCCCCCCGTCCCCATGTTAAGAGATAGGAGGGGGCGGAGCTAGCTGTGGGTGTGTGGGGCGGGGTCACGGCCCCCCCCCCGTCCCCATGTTAAGAGATAGGAGGGGGAGGAGCTAGCTGTGGGTGTGTGTGGGGGGGGTCACGGCTCCCCCCGTCCCCATGTTGAGAGATAGGAGGGGGCGGAGCTAGCTGTGGGTGTGTGGGGGGGGGGTCACGGCTCCCCCCGTCCCCATGTTAAGAGATAGGAGGGGGCGGAGCTAGCTGTGGGTGTGTGGGGGGGGGGTCACGGCTCCCCCCGTCCCCATGTTGAGAGATAGGAGGGGGCGGAGCTAGCTGTGGGTGTGTGGGGGGGGTCACGGCTCCCCCCCTCCCCATGTTGAGAGATAGGAGGGGGCGGAGCTAGCTGTGGGTGTGTGGGGGGGGGGTCACGGCTCCCCCCGTCCCCATGTTAAGAGATAGGAGGGGGCGGAGCTAGCTGTGGGTGTGTGGGGGGGGGTCACGGCTCCCCCCCTCCCCAGGTTGAGAGATAGGAGGGGGCGGAGCTAGCTGTGGGTGTGTGGGGGGGGGGGTCACGGCTCCCCCCCTCCCCATGTTGAGAGATAGGAGGGGGCGGAGCTAGCTGTGGGTGTGTGGGGGGGGGGTCACGGCTCCCCCCGTCCCCATGTTGAGAGATAGGAGGGGGCGGAGCTAGCTGTGGGTGTGTGGGGGGGGGGTCACGGCTCCCCCCCTCCCCATGTTGAGAGATAGGAGGGGGCGGAGCTAGCTGTGGGTGTGGGGGGGGGGGGGGTCACGGCTCCCCCCGTCCCCATGTTAAGAGATAGGAGGGGGCGGAGCTAGCTGTGGGTGTGTGGGGAGGGGGGTCACGGCTCCCCCCCTCCCCATGTTGAGAGATAGGAGGGGGCGGAGCTAGCTGTGGGTGTGTGGGGGGGGTCACGGCTCCCCCCATCCCCATGTTGAGAGATAGGAGGGGGCGGAGCTAGCTGTGGGTGTGTGGGGGGGGGGTCACGGCTCCCCCCGTCCCCATGTTGAGAGATAGGAGGGGGCGGAGCTAGCTGTGGGTGTGTGGGGGGGGGTCACGGCTCCCCCCCTCCCCATGTTAAGAGATAGGAGGGGGCGGAGCTAGCTGTGGGTGTGTGGGGGGGGGGTCACGGCTCCCCCCCTCCCCATGTTGAGAGATAGGATGGGGCGGAGCTAGCTGTGGGTGTGTGGGGGGGGGGTCACGGCTCCCCCCCTCCCCATGTTGAGAGATAGGAGGGGGCGGAGCTAGCTGTGGGTGTGTGGGGGGGGGGGTCACGGCTCCCCCCGTCCCCATGTTAAGAGATAGGAGGGGGCGGAGCTAGCTGTGGGTGTGTGGGGGGGGTCACGGCTCACCCCCACACCCCCCACACCCCCACCCCCCGGTAGCTCGCGAGACGTCACGTGACGGGGGGCAGTGGAGGCTGTAGGGGGTGGGGTACGAGCCCCCGGTCTCGCGCTCTCAGCTGATTGGTTGAAACTTACGGGGGGGGGAGCGGCGGCAAAAGTTGCGCGCGCGCGCGCTCACAGCTGCAATGTAAAATTATAGCAGGGGGGGGGGGGGGCGCAGTCAAGTCTCGCGCTCACTGCTGATTGGTTGATACCGAGTGGGGGGGGGGGCCCGCGCGCTCACAGCGCCAGTGTTGAATGATAGCAATGGGGGGGGGGGGGGGGGGGGTATGGGGGGGGGGTATAGTGGGGGGGGACAGTCAAGTCTCGCGCTCTCACCTGATTGGTTGATACCGAGTGGGGGGGGGGGCTGTTGGATGGCACGTGAAGCGGGGTGGGGGGCTGTGGGGGAGGGCTGTGGGGGGGGGGGCTGTGGGGGGGCTGTGGGGGGGGGCTGTGGGGGGGGGGGCTCACCTCCAGCGCGCGCGCTCCCGCCGCTTTCCCGCGTGTCCGCCATTGTAGCCGCGATTAATTATTTAATGGTCAGGGCCCATATATGGAGCTTCCGGCGGACGTGACGCCAACCCGCCCGCGCTGTGAGGGGGACCGCGGCAATTTGACCACTGGGCTTCTTAGGAACTTTTTAATATTTTAAACTTGCGAGGAGGGATCCGATGATCTATGAAGCGCTTTTATTATTTTTTTACAGATGTCCAGTTAAGGAAGGCGAGTAAGAACGTTACAACAAACAAGAATACAAAAAAACACCACACTGGTGCCAAAGCACATGGAAAGGATGAACAAATCACCCCCACCCCTCGGGCGTGGGGCCTCGGGTGGGCTGGCGGGGCCAAGCGCTGTTGGTCGCGAGCAGCAGCACCGACACACTCATTCACTCACTCATTCATTAACTCACACACTCATTCATTCACTCATTCACTCACTCATTCACTCATTAACTCATTCACTCACTCATTCATTCACTCACACACTCATTCATTCACTCATTCACTCACTCATTCACTCATTAACTCATTCACTCACTCATTCACTCACACACTCATTCATTCACTCATTCACTCACTCATTCACTCACTCATTCATTAACTCATTAACTCATTCACTCACTCATTCATTAACTCATTCATTCACACACTCATTCATTCACTCATTCATTCATTCACCCACTCATTCACTCATTCGTTCACTCATTCACTCACACACTCAATCATTCACTCATTCATCCACTCACTCATTCATTCACTCACACACTCGTTCATTCACTCATTCACTCACTCATTCACTCACTCATTAACTCATTCATTAACTCATTCACTCACACACTCATTCACTCATTCATTCACTCATTTATTCACTCATTCATTCACCCACTCATTCACTCATTCGTTCACTCATTCACTCACACACTCAATCATTCACTCATTCATTCACTCACTCATTCATTCACTCACACACTCGTTCATTCACTCATTCACTCACTCATTCACTCACTCATTCATTAACTCATTCATTAACTCATTCACTCACACACTCATTCACTCATTCATTCACTCATTTATTCACTCACTCATTCACTCACACACTCATTCACTCACACACTCACTCATTCACTCACATTCACTCATTCACTCATTCGTTCACTCATTCACCCACACACTCATTCATTCACTCAATCATTCACTCAGTCACTCAGTCACTTATACACTCATTCATTCACTCACACACTCATTCACTCACACTCATTGTGTTCACTCACTCACTTATACACTCGCTCATTCACTCACACAGTCATTCACTCATTCATTCACACTCATTAACTAATTCATTCACTCACTCACTCATACGCTCATTCATTCACATACTCATTCACTCATTCATTCACACTCATTCACTCACCCAAAGATCCCCCGTGCAGCCTCCCCTAGGCTGAGTCAACCTAGGGGAGGCCCGGGACCGGTTCAGATAACGCAGCGCTAACCACTGTCCCACCGCTCCCCACACATACAGACTGCGCTAACCACTGCCCCACCGCTCCCCACTCACTCAGACTGCGCTAACCACTGTCCCACCGCTCCCCACCCACACAGACTGCGCTAACCACTGTCCCACCGCTCCCCACTCACTCAGACTGCGCTAACCACTGTCCCACCGCTCCCCACACACACACAGACTGCGCTAACCACTGTCCCACCGCTCCCCACACACACAGACTGCGCTAACCACTGTCCCACCGCTCCCCACTCACTCAGACTGCGTTAACCACTGTCCCACCGCTCCCCACCCACACAGACTGCGCTAACCACTGTCCCACCGCTCCCCACTCACTCAGACTGCGCTAACCACTGTCCCACCGCTCCCCACACACACAGACTGCGCTAACCACTGCGCCACCGCTCCCCACTCACTCAGACTGCGCTAACCACTGCGCCACCGCTCCCCACACACACTCACAGTGCGCTAACCACTGTCCCACCGCTCCCCACTCACTCAGACTGCGCTAACCACTGTCCCACCGCTCCCCACTCACTCAGACTGCGCTAACCACTGTCCCACCGCTCCCCACTCACTCAGACTGCGCTAACCACTGCGCCACCGCTCCCCACTCAGACTGCGCTAACCACTGCACCACCACTCCCCACCCACTCAGACTGCGCTAACCACTGTCCCACCACTCCCCACTCACTCATGCTGCGCTAACCACTGCACCACCGCTCCCCACTCACTCAGACTGCACTAACCACTGCGCCACCGCTCCCCACTCACACAGACTGCGCTAACCACTGCACCACCACTCCCCACCCACTCAGACTGCGCTAACCACTGTCCCACCGCTCCCCACCCACACAGACTGCGCTAACCACTGTCCCACCGCTCCCCACTCACTCAGACTGCACTAACCACTACGCCACCACTCCCCACCCACACAGACTGCGCTAACCACTGTCCCACCACTCCCCACTCACTCAGACTGCGCTAACCACTGCGCCACCGCTCCCAAAACCCACAAGCCTCTGCGTAACGCAGAGCTTTTAAGGGACCGCGGCGAATGCGTTATTTTGTAGTGTGGGTCGTTTAGGGTCCGCGTCCAATTGACCAAAATTTAACATCCGTGACGGTGACGCTCACTACTACTGTACGTACATCGGTGGCCAACGAGGGGCGTGACGAGTTTCGGTACCCGCACTGTACCCCACCCCGCCTCTTCCGGCGTAGGCCCCACCCTTTCCGGTGTGAGGACCGCCTCTTCCGGTACAGACCCCGCCTCCATGTTGAGACGGAAATAAGAAATCCTAAAATCTACGAAGCTCTTTTTCACAGAGGTCTAGTGAGGGGTTGGAAGGTCAGCAACAGCACAACACACCAACACTCACGGTAGGAGAGCAGAGCATAGGAATGTCTCACTGAGATCCAGACTATGTACCTGTGTGTACGTTGAACTTCTTTCCCACCGTACGTGGCCAACCGTGATCATCTGGGGGTCTCTGTGGGTCTCGATAGGTCTCTATGGGTTTGGATGTCTGCGGGTTTCTATGGGTCTGGGTGTCTGTGGGTCTCTATGGGTGTCTCTGTGGGTCTCTGTAGGTCTCTATGGGTGTCTCTGTGGGTCTCGATGGGTGTCTCTGTGGGTCTCTATGGGTGTCTCTGTGGGTCTCTATGGGTGTCTCTGTGGGTCTCGATAGGTCTCTATGGGTCTGGATGTCTGTGGGTTTCTATGGGTGTCTCTGTGGGCCTCTGTAGGTCTCGATGGGTGTCTCTCTGAGTCTCTATGTATAGAGTAGTGTATAGTATCGTGTAAGGATGCCCTGGTGGTCCCCCTCTTTAAGAAGAGGGACCGCACAGACTGTAACAACTACAGGGGCATCTCACTCCTCAGTGTGCCGGGAAAGGTCCTGGCAAGGATTATTCAACATCGCCTTGCCAGGCACGCTGAGGAGAGGCTTGCGGAGCCCCAATGTGGTTTTAGACCAGGGTGGTCCTGCACAGATGCCATATTTTCTGTCCGTCTGCTACAGCAGAGTTGTAGGTAATTCCAACAAGACCTACATCTCTGCTTTATTTACCTGGTCAAGGCCTATGATACCATCAGTAGGCCTGGGCTCTGGGTTGTTCTTCGCGCTTTCGGAGTCCCTGAGTTTCTGGTCACAACCATTAAAGACCTTCATGATGGTGAACAGACCCGGGTAAAACTACGTGGCCAGGAGTCGGAGCCATTCCCTGTTCACCTTGGCTCCCACATTTTTCCGATCTTTTTCGACCACGTAGTTTGTGAAGCCTCCATAGCTGTACCAGCGGAATTTCCATCTGGTACAGATACCATGGGAGGCTGATCGATGCCCGCGATGGCTCCTGATTGGTCAACCATGTTACGTATGCTGATGATCTGGCAATTGCTGCTCATTCAGAGGAGTTGGAGACGCTGCTGCTGAGACTGGAGTGTGCCACTAAGAGGTGGGGCCTTACCATCAGCCCCACCAAAACTAAGCACCTGGCTGGGTATTTTGTACCATCGGACACTCCACCCCACAATTCTCAATCGGTGATGGGGTAGTTGTGGAGAGAGTGGAGAGTTTTACATACCTGGGCAGTGTGCTTATGACCGGCTTTTGTGATTCACAGCAGAGGTCTCACTCAAAATCAGTCGGGCGGCATTATATTTTCATTGGCTGCTCAATGTTGTGTGGAAGCTACCTGGTCTGTCGCTCTGCACGAAGCTTTGGGTCTTCTCGGCCACAGTCATGCCCTCACTTCTCTATGCTTGTGAATCGTGAACTCCTCTAATGGAACATCTGCGCCGGTTAAAAACATTCAGAATGGCCTGCCTACGATCCATCCTGGGTTTAACCAGGCTGGATTGTGTCAGGAGCTTACACATGTTTGAAAGATCTGGACACATTCCCATCGGTGAGCTCCTCTCGCAGGCAAGGCTGTGTTGGCTGGGTCATGTAGCCCGCATGCCCAGCCACCGCATGCCTAAACAGCTTTTGTTTGGCCGGATAGAGAGGGCTAAATGGGCGCTGCACAGGCTCGAGAAGAGATGGAGTGATGTGGTACAGGAGGACGTGGAGCTGAGTGGACTTGCCGATGACTGGTACCAGCGGTGTCAAGATCGGCCTCTGTGGAGGAGGCTCGTGAAGGACGCTGCTACTAGGCAAACTACACACAACTACACACAACAACAAACTACACACAACAACAAACTACACAACAACAACAAACTACACACAACTACACACAACAACAAACTACACACAACAACAAACTACACACAACAACAAACTACACAACAAACTACACAACAAACTACATAACAAACTACATAACAAACTACACACAACAACAAACTACACACAACAACAAACTACACAGAACAACAAACTACACAACAACAAACTACACAACAAACTACACAACAAACTACACAACAAACTACACACAACAACAAACTACACAACAACAACAAACTACACATAACAACAAACTACACACAACTACACACAACAACAAACTACACACAACAACAAACTACACACAACAATGAGCAGCAGTTTGTCAATGTAAATGATTTAAAAGTGCGACACCAAAAGCAGTCCACG